ATATTACAAAGAGAGAAAGAATACAAATAGCTTTTAATATAGAAGAAGACTTATATTTGTGGGATGATTAACTAAGGAGGAGGAGGGCTTTATTTATAACAAAAGAATTTCCCCTCCTCCTTATACACAATCAATGTGGGACTTTTGTCAAAAACCAACAGATACCCCCCTACTCTTAGTCTGTTGGCTAGCTGCAGCCTTTTGGAAGTCCAAATGTATCTCTGGAGCCTAAGAAGAACAAACAAAATCCACACTTTGTCAGAAAGTACATGCAAGTCGCAGCAGGACACCCACTCAATCCACACTCGTTTTAATACTCCTCCGTTTTCCTCAAGAAAATAAACATATCCATTTGGCACAAACGGAAATTAAAGAAATTCAAACCAGCATTGCAGTGGCGAAACAAAAGGAAAACATCAATCCTACTAACATGTTATGGTAACAAAATATATTATCATGTAATTAGCATTAGCTATAACTTTATCATTGATGAAGTTCATATCAAATAATTATCACATCAAACAATGAAGATAAAAAAGTTAAAGCATTAATCAAGTTATATACCAAAGTTTGTGAGGTTTTATTTACACAAGGCATAAATCTTTTTTTTTCCCGTGGTGTGGAAAGCTTCTAGTTGTATAATAAAGAAAAGAAAGTTCACCTTAGCAGCAACTTTCAAAGACTTTCGATAAATCTCATTGCTCGGATCCTACCACCCCAAAAGTTCCCCAGATTAGCTTAAACAACTCTCGATTACTGGTTTTCAAAACACACAAAACAGATAAACAAAGAAGTTACCGCATAAACTGCTTTTTGGAAAAACTGAGCTGCCTTATCAAAAGAAACTTTTGCCTCATCAGAATCGGTAGTCATAAATGCAGTAGTGGAGAGCGCGTTTCCCATGCACCATAAAGTTTCGTGCCTGGATGGATTTATCGCCATCGCCTCATCGAATTTTGAAATTGCATCTAAACGATCAATACTCATAGCATTAGCGAAAACAATAACAAGGGGAAAATAAAATAAGGAATAAATTCAAGAACAATATAAGAAAACCATTTATCATATTCTTTGCATCCGAAACAGTCTGAAACTGAGCTAATTTGAGCAACGCTCCTCCCCATTTCGTTAAATTCTGCAACCAATTTTAACAGATAACAATGGAAAATTCAAAGCAATTTTATTAAAAAAGGACACAAATCTCAACCACAGGAGAACTTTGCAAATAAAAGAATCAAAACCCCATTACTATCAAAATCGAGCAATTGCAAACAAACAAACGAATAAATATGTATTCTTCAAGATGTGAATTCAATTGAATGAAGAAATATTTCTCTCAAAAACCTTTTATTGGTTCCTCTTCTTTCTTTTTTTCTCCCTCTTTCTTTAAACAAAATTCCTCTCCTAATTACAAAATAAGAAAGTACGTTTATAGGCTCTCAAAAATCATAAAAGTAAAAGAAAACCTAATATTTTTCATTAATGGTGGATATACTAATTAAAAAATAATATTAAAATGATAAAAATATATTAAATTGCCATAAATAAATAATAAAAATTATAAAATATAATTTCATTATAAATAATCAATAATTAATTAATTAAAAATTCATAATAAATTTAAATTTCCTTATTGAGCTCGTATCAAAATTTTTGCATAAGTTTTTTTTTTTTTGCATAAGTTGTCTTCGTTAAAATGAGCATATCTTGAGTTCTCAATGTCTAATTGAGGCGTTTCAAAATGTGTTGAAAAGTTAGTTAAGAGTCGGTTCTATCTCACGATATCATGTCCTGAAAATATTGGAATCTTACTTGAAAATTTGTTGCAAGTCAACCGACCTCCCATACTTCAAAACCAACTTCAATAAAATATTTTAGGCTTTAATAAAAAAAGGTAGGCCAGACAAAAATCGAGTATTACATTTAGATTTTCATATCTACTTGTCAACAAACAAAATCTCTCTTCGCACCTATTTGAACGACTCCAAATGTAATAGAAGTGTGCAAACATCGTGATTAGTCATTGTCTCTAGAATTATGCTCTATCCCACTAGTAAAAGTTATTTATAATATTCGAAATCAAGTCTGATTTACGAAACTTCTTTAGATCTCACGAGAATCCAACATGATGGTTGATTGCGGTGAAGATGCTCGCTCTTAACCACTATCGAGTTACATTGCTTGACTTTGTATCGCCCGACGTTCAACCACTTGTTTCAAGTGATACATTAGGACCTTTGTATTATAGAATTGTTCATACTTAAATAACTGACTTTAAGTTACTTTCAAATAAAAAAAAGAATCGAATTGATTTGCGATATTATTTTAAATTTTTTATATACTTAAATTAAATATAAATTAATAAATATTATATTTCTTTGAAATGGTATAGTAAACATAATTTTAAACTAATAATTTAATTATTTTCAATTAATACAGTGAAATAGTATAGTAAATATTCATAAATCCATTTTAATTATTGTTACATTTTTAAAGTTTATGCTATAATTTAATGTTCGATCTGACTGTCTATTTCACTATTAATATGTTAATGAAAAAACTAAAATATCTTATGTTAATATTTTACATTTTTATAACCAAATTTTATCAAAAAAAAAAATTACTACTTAGTTTTAATATGGGCTTGGCGGGGTTAAGTCGACTCCAATAAAGGTAAAAGGGAACAAATTCATAATCTGTAATGTATAATTAGTGAAAGGATAATAAGCACAGTATTAAATATTGAAATCCATCAATAGCTTTTAAGGGTAAAAAATAGTAATTTTTATTTAAAAAAAATCAATTTTAAAAGTGACGACATATGTATACGTTGTTAATTAATTAAATTAAGAAAATTTTAAATATATATTATTTTATAATCAACATAAACTATTAAAAAAACTGTATCAAACATTTTATAATGTAATAGATATACTCAAATAAGTATAATATCAAAAAGTGTAATTTTATATTTTACTTTTAGAATTTTTGATTAAATAATATTTTATTTTAAGGTAAAAACACTCTTTTGTGAACATAAATAACTAATAATAAATTTTTAATGTTCTAAAATAAAGTTTTTATCCTAGAATAAAAGTTTTAAGGTCTAAATATTTCTAAAATTTTATCTAATTAAATATTAGATATCCTTTTATCTTAAAATAAACACAAAAAAGTAAAAGAATTTAAAAATGTATATATTAAAATAATTATTTAATCAAATATTAAAAACATTTTTAAGGTGATTTTCCCCAAAAATCACCCTTTCGAACTTTATTTTCATGTCAGACACATTTTCATCTTTATTTCCTGATATAACACCCTTTGCAGGAAGGTGTGGCCCACACACCGAGTCTTACGCTGATGTGGCGCCACGTGGAGTAAGGCGCGACCCATGCACTGTGCCTTATGAAAGGTGTAAAAACTCGGGTGATAGTTTTGTAAATATTGTTAAAATGATGTAAAATATATAATTAATTTCTATTAAGGTGATATTTATGTAAAAACATCAACTTTATTTTTATTTTTATTTTTTTTGTGTGTGAAAAAAATCTTTCTACGTTAAAATCTTTAAATATTCTTTTACAAATTATATTATAAGACAAATTTTGATTTTTGCATGAAATTACACAATACGTATAATCTAGTATAAAAAAACTTTGAGGATAAGTATTTTAAAATATAAATAATTTTATAAAAGTTTTATAACTAATATTTCTTTTATAAAATAATGATGATGATGATAAATATTTTATAATTTAAAAAATTATAAATTTCATATATTTTTGAAAAATTTATTGGCTTTTTAATTTAATTGTTTAAAAATATAAAAAATATTAAAATAAACTTTTAATTACAATTGAGGGATAAAATGAATTATTATTCATTAATTATTATTTTTAACAATATTTAATAATTTTTATTCATTTTTAATAAAATTATTTTGATTTTTGCATGAAATTACACAATATGTATAATCTAGTATAGGAAAACCTTGAGGGTAAGTATCTTAAAATATGAATAATTTTATAAAAGTTTTATAACTAATATTTCTTTTACAAAATGATGATGATGATGATAATAAATATTTTATAATTTAAAAAATTATAAATTTCATATATTTTTAAAACATTTATTGACTTTTAAAATTAATTGTTTAAAAAATATTAAAATAATCTTTTAATTACAATTGAGAGATTAAATGAATTATTATTCATTAATTATTATTTTTAACAACAGTTAATATTGTTTATTCATTTTTAATAAAATTATAATTTAATATTTTTTTTATTTTTTTTAAAATTAATATTATAAAGAATATTTTAAATAAAGAGGTGATATTTTTTAGCTTTAAATTTTTTATTGAATTTTATTCACTTTTAATTATTTTTTATTGTATTTTTATTGATTTTTAAAAAAGTGAATAATAGTTCATTTGATCTCTCAATTGTAATTAAAAAATTATTTTAATATTTTTATATTTTTAAACAATTAATTTTAAAATTCAACAAACATAATTCACTGTTATTAAAAAATAATATCACACAAAAATAAATAAATAAATAAATAAAATTGACGTTTTTACACAAATATCATCCTATCAAAAATTAATTACATATTAGACACTATTTTAAAAATATTTACAAAACTAACACATTACTTTTTTACACCTTCCCACAGGCGCGGTGCATAGCCGCGCTACGTGACGTAAGGCGTGGTATATAGACCACGCCTTCCTGGAAAGACTATTTGATTAAAAATAAAGATAAAAATATATCTGACATAAAAATAAAGTTTTAAATAGTGTTTTTTTTGGAAAAATCGCCCAGTTTTAACATGCCTATAAAAATATTTAATTTGGCGCGAAAATAGCATGCGCGGGAAATTGTAGTGGACGAAAGCACCCTCCATAATTCCTCGTAAAGACATCAACAATCGTTGAAAAACATGGTCGTGAAACGAGAGGCGCTTTGTTTACCCTTATTGAAGAACAGCAAAATCCCGCCAATTTTTAGAAAACCCTAAATCCTCCTTTTTGTTTGTTTCCCTCCATTCGCTTCGAGTTTTTAGCAGTACGTTTTGGCAATGGCAGAAGATGAAGCCGTCGATCCTATCCTACCAGAATTCCCAACGGCAAGGGTAAAAAAGATCATGAAACTTGATAAGGACATCAACAAGGTGAACTCGGAGGCTTTATTGCTCATTTCCTGTTCCACTAACCTTTTCCTGCAATTCCTCGCCGAGAAATCAGCCGAAGTCGCCACCGCGAACAAGAAAAAAACCGTGAAGCTCGATCACCTCAGAACCGCCGTCAAAAGGCATAGACCAGCGAGCGATTTCCTTCTCGACTCACTTCCTATTCCAGCCGAGTCTACTCAGTCCGCTGCTCGTTCAGTGACCGATCGAGATCGTTCCCGGCCAGTTTCTAATAAACCTGCCCCTGCTGGAACCCGCCGCATAGACCATTTCTTTCGTAAGCCAGAAAATGAAGCTCCGATCAGTTAAAAGATGCATAGAATTTCCTTTTTTTCTATTTAGCAAAATCTACAGTAAATGCTAGTTTGCTTTTGTACTCGGATTTGATAAGTTATCAAATTAGTGTGTTTCTTACTGAGTAATGAAATGTTGAAAACTGTAGCTATTTTATTAAGCACCAAAATAGGCAGAAATCAAAATATCTTCCATTCTTTTTTTCTTTGCAATGACAAGTGTTAACCTAAGAATTCAAAACAAAGGACTTCAGATAACTACATGGCAAGTTCTTTTGACAAACTGAATTTATTTTCTGCAAACATATAATTTCTTCTTCTTCAAACTTGCAATAATCTGTTCCAGTTACTAGAGCATTAAACCAGAATGGATTTATCATAATTTCAAGGTGACAAGGGCCCGGAAAACGTTGATACCACTGAAGCTGTTTCATCTCTTAGGGAAGAGTTGAAATTGGTCCGAGGAAATATCCTTTTCCCTTGTTCTTTGTTCCCTTCTTTTATGAATGATGTACTTTGTGTCACTGCGCTTTTGCTGTTTGATCCTAGCTGCTGGATGCTCAAGGAAAGCCTCCTGTTTAAAGGGGTTGCATTGGCAAAACCTCCATTTAAGCTCTTGTTTGAAAGGCGCCGATTACTGGTAGTTGGCTTAGATGTAATGAAGTTTTCTTGCTCGGTAACTACCTGGATTTGGACCTTCATCTGCTGGGAAATATTTCACCATATTAGAGAGGTCTGGTTAAACAGGCTACTATAAATGTTGAATTTTGCTTTTGGTTGAACATGGAATTATACTGACCCGTTGCCTTTGCTTTTCTTCTTCTCTTTCTTGCCTAGACAGGTTGTACTCTTCCAACATTGCCAAAAGAGGTACCTAGACCACAAATGTCATTCTCTCATGGCAGCTTGTTTGATTGATTAATCATGCTTGAGATATTATATGAAAAAACATAATTTCAAGTTAGTACATGTAGAGTTTTTAAAGTCAGGGATCCAAGTAATCAGTTCAAGATCTGAGAGTTGCATGTCTTGATGCATTCCATACTGGTTTTCCTTTTTAACATTCACTTCGTCTGTTAACTACTTCTGATCTATTTGATAATTCTCCTGTGAAGGTTATCTAATCAATGTTATCTAATCATGACCTAGACCACAAAAAGATATGGAAGTCCTGGAATAACTAATCAGAAATGTTAAATCTGAAACCTAGAACATAAAATTGGATCAATTATGCTGGGTCTTGTTGTTACTTTTTTTATTGTGCTGGATATATTAATCTTTCTGTTTTTATTACTGTCTTGCGTATTTTCAGTGAAGAATGGTTTTTCTTTTTCCTGATTGATTATATGCACAATATTGTTAAACTATAACAGAAACCTACTTTTTTTGTCAATGTGTTGTCAGAGGAATATATGATTTTACCTCATCGTACAAGAAAACTTTCCTTCTTTCTTCTTCCCAACTCTTGGTTTTTGCTATGAGTGAATCCACCAATGCTGCATGAAACTGTTTTCTGAGAATCTATATCACCAAAAGTACATACATACATTTCATGCACACAATAAGAGATTAAGTTTAACTGTTTGACGCTCGAGAAACCTGCTTCAAGTTATAATGCTAAAGGCTTCACACAATCTAATAGATCATGCAACTTTTTTAACTGTCTAGTTCAGGTTAGTTAATGAATTAAATGTAATATTTGTATATGCTTATACAAGTTTAGAAAAGTTTTCTGGTTTGAGTCAATGCCATGAGGGGTGCTTTAGCGAGTTTTACTTCCATAGGGAATTTTCTCTAATGTGACGGAGATTTTCTTTTTTATACCAGGGATTTTGTTGACTGTTACTCGGGCCCTTTCTGCACGTCTCAGGTTCCTATGAGCTCCCCTCCTGACAGAATATCTATTCTCATCCTGAAAATAGTTATGAAATAGGAAACGTGAAACAGATTCAGCTAGAGATATAGCCAACTAGTTATGCAGAAAAATCGTTTTACGATCATTAACCATGCTATATTCTTCCAGCCAGCGTTCCTCATCACGAGCTAGTATCCATTTCTCCACCTTCTCCATTATGGCTTTTCTGCTGGAAGCTTCTTCCTTTGCTCTTGTTATCTGTTCATCTATGTTCATGAGGAGCTCGGCATGGTCAATCTCCCCTGTTGTACATTACATAGTTGGGTCCTGAGTACTTTAGATTTGAACAAGAAGAAAATAAATTTTGAAAAGATATGTTATTTGTTCAGTTCCAGTGTCCCACCCGTGTTTATAAGGTTTAGAATATTTTCCAGCTCTGATCTTGAAGGAATCTCCATGTGTGATTTATTGCAAATGTTTTCAAGCTCACTCTGTTTCTTGAGAAACAACTCTTTCATTTTGCTTGCCTTTAATTGATCCAATCTCTTGACTTCGGTTTCAGCCTTGAAACATTAAAAATAAACTTTTAAGTTTATTGTTGCTTTGATAGTAATGGTGGTCTTATACACAAACCTGTTGGATTATCTCTAGTGTAAGGTTTCCAGGATCAGATACTTCTGCCGATGAGGCTGATAATAGATCAATAACATGGGAAAACAAGTAGCGATCTCTATAGGATGTATCCATTAGGCTCCACAGGTTTTTCAGTGCTTTACCAAGTTGGTGAAGCTGCAAAGTTGACAGATATTCAGCTAAAGATTTCTTCATGATAAAAATTTACCTTATGACAGAGTGGGTTTCTCAAGGAAAAGGAAGAACAAGTGATTCTGGAAGAATCTTCTTATGTCGTTCATAGCCAGAACTCAAGCAATCAACTGTCTTCACTTTTTACCCTTTATTGCGATTCATGTTTATGTTTTCCTTTATGAAGTTAGATAACAACAATTAAGAACCAAGTACTTTTTGCTACAGGCTAATGGGCCAGCGCCCCTTATAAGTTATGTTCAGAAAAATAATGGCATGACATTTTACCTTCTCAAGTCGCTTTTGTTTCTCTTCTTGCAGAGACTCGACAGTGCTGTTGAGTTTGGCCAAAATACCATCACTTATGTTTTTTGAAATTCCACACAACTCATTCAAGCTCGGGTGAACCTTTGTAATAATCATGGAAGACTCCATCCCCAATGTCGCGGACAAATTGTGAACAGCTGCTATATATTTTTCCACTTGCTGGAGTCTGTTGTTCTTCAGAAGAACAAAACAAGAAAGAAAAGTGAACAGCTGCTATGCGACATCCTTGATAGAAAATTTGAGGAAATTATGTACCTTCTCATTGTGGAGTCTTTGTAGCTCATTCTGATATTCCTCAAGTTTCTTCAAAGAAAGATCATTCTCGTTCACTGTGACATTTGATATCGATTCATCATACTCTGACTGACCAGCAATTTCGGCAGATATTTTCTGGATTTGCCCTTGCACGGCTCGGAACTGGTTTACTCTCTCTTCTTTCCTCAATCGCATGTCCCTCAATGCTGGAGTAATGGAATCAAGTTGTTGCTTTATTGTTCCTGACATTTTCTCTGGCTGCAGGGACAATAAATAGGTGGTCATGAAGCCAAGCAATATACATTTACACTTCCATATGTTGCATCTTGACTGGATCAGAGCCCCTTGTTTTTTATCCAATTTGACTAATGGCAGGGATGTCAAATGTTTATTAATGACAAAAAATAAATGAAATCTAAATTGCTTGGTAAGATACCCGTCCGGGAAGGGATCGTTCACCAAGGGACAAAAGAAGGTGAGTGAATTCAGCTTCAGATTCAGCCAGTTCCTGATGCAGGCAAGCTCTTGACATATTTGCACGGTCAACTTTTCTCCGGTATACCTCCAGACATTCTTGTTCTAATTCTAGTAGAACCTTCTCTCTTTCCGACTGATCTTCTCCAACTTCATTCCATATCATCTATTGCATTACATATCACAATGTATGATCTGATTACAACCACAGCTTATGTAAAAATATCAAAACGAAAATATTTTTTTTGAAGAGTCTCTTGCCTGCAACTCTTGAAGTAAATATCCACATGAAGTTTCTAACAATGTAGAGCTTCTCATTCCAGGAGGCGCTCGGAACGACCCCATCTTATCCATCTTTCGGTGCTGGTTTCTGTTGGGAGACTTGAAATCGCTTGAAACTGGACGCTTTGGCTTGGGCACTTGGACTAAAACAAGGCATAACCTGTTGGTTTGAGTTCTTTGAGAAACAGCCAAACCATGTTGTGAGAAAGAATAATGGGGGTGTGAGCTTTTTGCTTAAAAGACAAGGGTGGCAGCATTAGGTGCTAGTGAAGCTTTGGGTTCAAGAGTCCATTTTTCTGGATTTTCCAGGTTCTACCTTTCCACCTCCTCACTATTTTGAATTTAAATATGAAAAGAAAAAACTATAACTCTCTCCGTCTCGTTTACTTTAGGTATGTATTGTTAGTCAAACATTATATTGTATGCATCATATTTACATTCATCTTAGGTGAAGTCTTTTTAGATTATATTTTACAGCAACTTGATTCCTAAGCAATCTGTGTCCTAATGGAACAGTTCTTCAATCCATTGTTAAAATGTCAGAATCATAAAAAAAGTTACCATATGAGTTTTTGATATTTCCTCTAGGATGTTTAAGCTACCTAGTTTTGAAGGTCAAATACAGTATTCCGAAATTGCAATAATTTTGAGATTCCTTCCATAATTATGATTAGGGCCAAAACAAATATAATATTCATTAGAGAATTTGGGAATAGTTAAGAGGATCATTTTCAGCCTAACACATTCCACCTCATTTACCTTTTTAGCAAAGATTTTTACAGGAAATTAAGGTGCGTCTTCCTTATCATTAGCCCATTGGGGCTCAATGATCTTTTTGGGGATTAGGTTTAGCGTCAATTAGATGCCAAGTAGATGCCAAGAGTACTGAGGACGGCTAAAGCCAGGGGCCCTACTATTCTGAAAATTTTATACTTTAAAACCAAGCTCCATTTACTTTTGTAGTTTAAAAGAGGTTGTCTAGAAAGTGAAAGTGTTGCCATCACGAAATGCCAGACAAAAGGCTTCTGTGTTAAGACTTGGGAGTTGGGACCAACAGTAAGGCAGTTGGCTCCAAAGAGACAATTTTTTGTCATTTCTTATAGAATGTTTTGAGGGTTGGTTTATTATCCATTTTTATTATGAAAATTGAGTTGGTATCATGAGTTAATAGCATAAAATAATTGAAAACCATTCTTTAAGATTTTAGCACAAGTAGCCTAGAAAAAAGATTTTAACATAAGACTAATGGATTTATAAACAAATCTTTCATCACTCTATAGTCATTTGTTGAATAATTTTCAAAATATTATTTCTTTATATAAGATATCAAAATTCACTCATATTGAATGTGATAGAATCTAGTATTCTTTAATAATTTTAAATTTTTGGTAAATGAAAAATTATTGTGGTGAATCGAAATGTCAAAAGGTATATTTACATTAAATAAATTATATATATATATATACCAAAAAGAGAAAGACGAGGGATTGCACAACTTTGAAATTAAAAGTGCATATATGTAATGGAGCTGAACCTAAACTACTAATTTTGGGGACTCCTAATAATAAGATTACTAATGGCTAGCAGAGAAGGCTATAGGAAGGCATGTCTTCAATACACAGCACATCATCGGTGAGGAGTTCTCTTTCCAGCTGAGCCTTTGTTGATTTCAACACATCCTGTTTTGTTTAACCACCCACCAACCAATATATTATTTACTTACTCAAAACTCTCTCACACACTCATTATTATTGGGAAAATTAAGGATGTTGGGCTTCTATTCTTACATTGAACTCCATGTACGTGGCATTTCTCTCCAGCCATTGCTTGTCCATGACCACGAATGCCACGCAGTAGAGCAAGTCAAACGCCCATTCATTTTCTGTACAAAAAAACACTAGTACATCAGTTGTTTCATCACTACTGGGGAACTATTTAACTCGTATTTGGAAGTGTATATGCAGTGGTGGATCCACACTATATTTGTCCACCTTGAAATATGAATTTCTATTAGTTATTCATTTTATTAACTATGTCCACCTTGAAATTTTATGCGTTCACACGCAATTGTAAAGTTTTGTATTGTGTGTTCACCCTAAAAAATATTTTAGGATTCGTCAATGTGTATGTGTATTTAACATGGTTAGGTTAGGTAAATCCCATTACTTTGTTTTACTAGCAACACTTGCAGGCTCTTACCTGATAATATCTGTAAGAAAATTGATCTGATGAATGTCCTAGGTTTAGCTGCAAATCCCCACAAGTTGGCATTAGCTTACATCTTACTAACTTCAAGAAACTTTAGGTACTAGACATGATAATATTGAAGAGTTGAAAATAGCACAGTTAAGGTATTCATCGCCCACTTACTGGCATCAAGATCAAGCATTTGCATGATCATGAATGTGATATTTACGCCAGCCACAGCAAATGGATACTCCCATGCAGATCTCTTTCCACCTTGCTTCTTTAATAAACATTGAAATGACATCTGCAATAACAAGTCGCAACAAGATTGAACAATGCATTATAATGATGGTGGCAATTTAAGTACTCGAACTCGAATGGAGTAGGATATTTATGTATCCAACAATGCCCATGAGAATGATATACTTGCCGAGAATGTCTTGGCAAAGAATAACAGGTTCTCCAAAGAAATGAACCCAGCTCCTCTGTTTGACAAGGAAAATAAATTAGAAAACGAGAACCAAAAGAAACGATTTGGCAAATAAAAGCTAACCTAAAATCAGTCGATGGATCCCTTCCCTGCCATCCCATTTCTTTCCACTGATCTGATATCAAACCATGCAGCTCCTTTCCAGGGTATGTAGCAGACCATAGTGTTCTCAATGCTTCCTGTTGCCATGAAAATTGTAGGTAAGTTGCCATGATAATTTAGATTACATTGGCTTTAGGTACAATTATTGCATCATTGTATCCTGATGAATATGGGATTTAATTGTTCTCAGTAAATGTAGAACATAAGTCTCTCTGATCTAAATTGGTGTCCTCGATGAACAACGCTAAAGTGTAAAGTAAATGGTGGCCTTCATATCAAATTTATGGAAAAAATAAAAGGGAAAATTACACGTTTAGTACTTAAACTATCAGTTTTGGTTTGTTTTAGTACCTAAACTTTAGTTTTTGTTTTAATTTAGTACCCATTCAAATTGAACTTTAAGTTTTGAAAAAAAAATAAAAGTTTAGGTAATAAAACGGATCAAAATTGATAGTTTAGGTGCTAAACACGTGAAATTTTTAACGGTGGGTACTAAAATGAAACAAAAAATTAAACATTAAGTATGGTTTTGAAAAACAATTAAAAGTTTAGGTATTAAAATAGACTAAAACTGATAGTTTAAGTATTAAATGTGTAGTTTATCCAAAATAAAATGAAAAATGCAGAATCAAACCTGATGATCAGGCCTGGAACCATCGAAGTACACCTTCATCCTGTGTCTCAACCTCTTCAATCTTTCTTCCTGCAATTTGCTAACGGAGCTATCATATATAAGGAAGACACACACATGCAACCAGCACAGTGCTTAAGTGAAGACATTATTTACTTGCCTGTTTGGGTGTCAAGTTAACGCAGATCCCTTCATAAACTCCCTTGCGTTTGAAACAAACACAAGTAAGGCCTTTACCAATCCAAGCTGGCCTTCCACATGTTGCACCATCTGCAGACAATATTACAACCAATAGACCTCTTTGTTTTTCACATTTCCCATCCAAATTCTATTTACAATTACTGCTTCAAACCCAAAAAATAAAAATGGAAAAAAGAAGTGAAAAACAAAAGAACTTTCATGAAACAAGCAGAAACAAAGGCCATTTTTGGTTCTTTGGAAACTGGCTGCAAAGCTGAACCGAACCATTTTACATCAGTCGATAGTTTTCACTGGACATGTATGAAAGAAAAGGTAGGAAAAAGGGTCCAGGTGGTACCGAAACTTCCTATTTTCAAGTATACTTTTGCTAAAGAAATTGGTCCATGAATTATGGGCTTCATCAGATCAGTAGTGGGGATATATAGCAGTTCTTGGTCCTTCTCAGGGACACTCGCATGCACGGTAGAGGGAACCACCACCAGATGACTGGTCTAGTGGATAACGTCGTTAATGAACACGTTCGCCCGGAAGACGAGTTTCTCGTGCACGCGCCAAAGCCCAAATTTTCGTATTTAAGCCCGTAAACACCACGAATTCAGCAAAATAATCACAAAAAAGAAATTATTTTAGAATTTGACCACGCGGATCAGCTATTTACCCAGGACCTCTACACCGACCAAAAGGACATATCTAAGAATTATATATAACAAAATAAAATTATTTTTATTTTATTTAATTTGATTAGTTTAACATAATTTTTAATTTTCAAAATAATTAAAATATAATATTAATTTATTTAATTTAATAATATAATATTATAATAAATTTTAATTTAATAGCACAATTTCAACGTTGTATACATTTTTTTTTACATATTTTTATAAAAATTTGATTAATAATACACATAAATATTTTCATAATATATTTCAAAACAGGTAGCGTTGATTCAACTTATATTGAAATTAAAACTTTTGTAGGAACCATGCAACCTCAATGATTAAGAGATTAGTTGACGTTAATTGTCAAATGGTTGAGAATATTCGAATAAATAATATCTTATATTTATTCTAGATATAAAAAAGTTAAATTTGATTCAATACGATTAAATTTAAAAAATTAATCTAATTCAAAATTCAAACAAATCAAACCATACCTATTAAGGACATATCATTCTCCCAATAGGAGTAAAATTGATTGAAAATATCAGAACTGAATAACAGGCTCTATAATAACTCGTGAGAAATAGTCGGCTGAAAGTAAATATTGCAACTTCTAAACAAATATAAGGGAAAATAAAAAGAGATTTCTGAAAGATATATACTTTCTATCATAGTATATTAAAAATAAAATCAAACATCACATCAAACGGTCAGATCATACCAAAATCAGGTACATAAACGGTGGTTTTATCTTGTGACATAAATTTATGTAACACACATGTATATTATTTACGTAGTCTAATGTTTAGGTTAAGGAGTGGGTTACGTTCCTGTGCGGGTGACATTATAATGTGTATTATGAGTGTCTTATGAGGACGAACCTAGACTAATCATGGGCCACTGACGGAAGATGATAGAGCTGGACCTCTCCAGAAACCCTAAATTGCAACAAATCCGGCATGATTCCGCTAAAAATCAGTTCAGCAATCTATACCTCCCATTTATTGCACGACAAATGGAGATCAATCAGGATTTTTTTCTTTCTTTTTGTGACTTGAAGTCAAAATGAGTTAAACATTTCCAGATTCTGATTGAAGGGAAAGGATCGTCTACCAGTAGTACTTATCTCCCCTACTAAAAAATATTCTTCATATCAATATATCATCATATTTTCCTCTATTATTTTTCGATCGAGGAAGAAAAATAAAGAAAATTCAATTTAACAAAATCAAAAATCTGACGGGGTAAAAAAGCGAAACGAATTACTAAAGAAGTTGAACGAATCGAGAACTCTACAATCGACGGCATTGTTGTGTTCGGAGCAATAAAGAAGCAAGAATCGTTGCGAATGCATATATTACAAATTCCATTTTCAAATTGAGCATCAAATTACAGAGACCGAGGGAGAAATACCTGATGAAGCAGAGCCGTGAGAACAACGGTTAAGGGAAGAGGAAGGGGAGAAAGCGCGGATCGCAACGCAGCTTCCTTGATTCCTAAGTACACTGCTCATTTTTCTAACCGCTCAGCAAAACGCTTTTAGTAGCTTCTCGATCTTTATTATCAGTATAGATATTGAGAGCGTACATTATATAGAAGAATAAATGAAGAAGGCATCCATCTCTGTGTCCGTTGGGACCAGGCTTGTTCTTATGCTAGTGAGGAAAGTGGCCTAATTATCCAAAGTCAAAACTACCCCGATTCACTCCTTTGTTTTGTTTCGGTAGTTGCCCTAAAAAATTATATTCAAAAGAAAAATGACATTTTTAATCCTAATTTTATTAGTTTAATCATTTTAATTTTTTATTTTCATAAATTATTTCAAATAGGATTGAATAATAATAGTATTTTAATTAACAATATTTAATTTATTAATTGATAAATTCTCTATTAATATTCTTAATTCAATTTATTTCATTCAGGTATCAAAATTTAAGTTTTAACCTTATTTAAGATCTCATGTCTCTAGGCCTAGGCCTGGTCATAGCCCCCCTCTATAACCAAAAGGATAAATTGTTTATTAAGTCACCTATTATTATTTAATTTCTATTTTGGTCACTCAACTATTATTTATTTTAAATCATACTTAATGTTACATTTGGTTTATGTTTTGGTCTCTCATCTTTAAAAAATTAGCGGTGATGTTGATGTATCATCATAAGAGAATGCCACGTCATGATTGAAAAATAATTATTTTAACATCATTGTTATTTTTTTAACAGTAGGTGATTAAAATATATATATGATTTTTAATTTCTATTTTGGTCACTCAACTATGATGAATTGTTTATTAAGTCACCTATTATTATTTAATATCTATTTTGGTCACTCAACTATTATTTATTTTAAATCACACTTAATGTTACATTTGGTTTATGTTTTGGTCTCTCATCTTTAAAAAATTAGCGGTGATGTTGATGTATCATCATAAGAGAATGCCACGTCATGATTGAAAAATAATTATTTTAACATCATTGTTATTTTTTTAACAGTAGGTGATTAAAATATATATATGATTTTTTTTTGATAAAATTTGTATTATGTTTATATTAGCTTAATCTATAAAATTTTTCTGAATCCGCTACTGTCTCCAACCAAACCAGTTCCTTTTCGTAATAACAGCACCGCCTTTAAACTAATATTAATTAGTTAATTTTTTCATGTTATAAATAGTTTATTTTTTGAAAAATAGTTAATTTAATTTTATTGAAGTATTGGTCTCTTTTTTTTATAAAAAAATTGATATAATACTTTTTTAAATTTTTAGTCCGACTGTGTTAAGCTATAAGTCTATGGGTTAGTTTCACGGTGCAACTTAACAAGTTAAGGCTTGAAAATGATGAAAATGAATGTATTTGAAAATGTTATAAAATATAATAATTTAAATTTGATTCAACTTAAAATGTTACATTTTCGTAATTCTTTTGGTTATCAATAAAAAAATTTACATTCTTAATAATATTTTAAATTTAATTAAAATATTATAAAAATATAATGTTTTAACTATATTTAACTTAAAATATTATATTTTTAATAATATATTTGGTTATACTTAATTTTAATATTTTTTATGTTTAAACTAAGTTGTTATTTTAAAGACTTTCTCAGGTGGCCGAAGCTTTATCAACAATGAGAAATCAGAAGTCTGAGGGGACACGGAAATGTTATTATTTTTTTAACATTTATGGTAAAAAGTTGTCTAAAATATTATTAATTTTTTACTTAAAACATTAATCTTTTTTAATATTTATAGTAAAGTGCCTAATATTAATATTTCAAGAAAATAACATCAGTGGTAAAAAATACCTTATAATATACGATTTTAACCAATTTTTTTGGATTTGCCAAAATGACCAACTAAATCGCAATGCGATCGATAATTCGCAACGCGATCTCCGGTATCGCAAATCAGTTTCCAGATTCGCAACGCGATTCTGACTATCGCATTGCGATTTCCCAAATTCGCGTTGCGATTTTCCTAATTCGCAACGCGAATACGTAAATCGTAACGCGAATACGTAAATCGCAATGCGATTACGTAAATCGCAATGCGAATCTGACTATCGCAATGCGATTTACATAGCGCCATTCGTATTAACGCGTATTTTTTTTTCAAATTCCAAACACGAATATATTAATATATCGGAACACTAAACCGTCTACAGTATATCACGTAATCGCAACTCATAACCTAAAACCCTAAATCACAACTCAGTCTCATCTTCATCTCTCACTCTCTAAGGCGACATCCGTCCCCATCTCCGACGAAATCAGTCCCCACGACGATAACAATCTCCATCTCCGGCGAAATCATTCACGGTCAGAAATGGAAAATCAACCAAATCAACCACTGAGGGTTAGTTTTTTTAATTATTTTTATTTTGAAATTCTTGCATTATTATTAGGTTTTTCATATTGAAATTGATGATAAGTTTACTTGTGTTTTCAATAATAGATTAACCATTTCACTTATATTGCTTATTATATTCATTCGATTACTGCCAATACTGCTAAATTGTTTAGTCTTTAACCCTGTGAAGTTAGTATTTGTCTTTGTTTTGTCTTTTGGTTGAAGTAATGCAATTCATTCAAGTTTCTTTCAATTTTAGTATTTGAAACCGAGAATGACTATCGCAACGAGTGAATCGCAACGCGAAAATAACTATCGCAATGCGAATTTGACTATCGCAACGAGAGAATCGCAATGCGATTTTCATTTCGCGTTGCGATTCTTGCGTTGCGATAGTCAAATTCGCGTTGCGATAGTCATTTTCGTGTTGCGATTTTCATTTTCGTGTTGCGATTTAAAGTTTCAGAAACTATTCTTCTTCTGCAAATTGAAACTTGAATGAATTGCATTACTTCAACCAAAAAACAAATATTAAATTCACAGTGTTGCAAATTTAAGTTTGAAGAATAAACTACTACTCTTTATTGTTCATAACTTCACAGTGTAGTTTTTGGTATATCTAAATTGGTATGTTTATTGTTTTTGCAGAACTTTTATTCGGCACAATTGACCTTAAGAAATAAAGTAAGCCTGGTCAAAACAATTGCGTCGAAGCTTTCACCTGCACAAAGAAAAATATTTGAGGATACTTGCTCCGGGCCATGGCTGAAAGTACAACATCCGGGTGGAGATGCTATGTTGATCTGTTTTTTCAAACCATGACTAGCGATCTACCAGAGACTATACAACGTTGTGATGAAGAGATATGGTTTGATTTTCCACCGGCGTATACGTGTTTTGGGCGGGAGGAGTTTTGCTTAATCACCGGTCTACGCTTTGGACACGATGATGTAGATCGGTACACTAGACATATTACCCGCCTATCATGGTTTTCCCGGGTTTTCCTGAGCAGTCAACGGAGAAGTCGAATTTACACGTGGAAGACTTGACGAGATTATTGAATAAGAAAGATGGTTTTACTCGGATGGATGACGTCGATGTTGTCCGAGTATGCCTTCTAATACTTTTGCAAGCCGTCTTTTTAGGCAGAGAGGCCCGACAACCTATTCCTAATGATCTAATTAAATTGGTAGAGGACCTAAACTCATGGAACCTGTTTCCGTAGGGTTCGTATCTATGGAGAGCTACATGGAATAAGTTGTCGTCTGCCTTTAATGATCGGAAAAGTTTGCGTGGCGATGGTTCCAAATATACTTTGTCAGGCTTTATTTGGGCCTTTAAGGTAATAATTTTTATATAATGTTTCCAAAATTATAATTAATTCTTTAACAATTACTAATGTTTGTTATTATATTGTTTGTAGATTTTGATATTTGAGGCCTTTCCCGCCATGCAGACATATGCATTAAAAACTTCTAATGATATTCCTAGGGCTATTTCCTGGAAGAGAAAACGGTCCTTGCAGCAATGGGAAGATTTACTACCGTATACTACAATAAATAATGTAAGTTAACACAAATACTACCATATGTTTATAAACAAGTTATTACTAGTACACGTTTAACTTTGTTTGAGCTTTTATATTGTTAGGAGGCCAACACTCCATTACAGAGGCTGACACCCACAGAAGCTGAGCTTGCCACTGATTGGTGGCAAGCTAGTAAGCTTTTTTTTGATGGCACGGATGATGAGCAGCCACCACTTCGAGAGCCATCACCTCACTCAGAGCCATCACCTGATCGACCCGAATATACACCTCCACAACGAGAGTCATCACCTATTCTGTCACATCATCGAGCCTCTTCTCCACCATCACCTCATGATAGGCGACCGGCAAAGATGCCACGACGTTTATCTCCCTGTTCTCCACCTCTACGGGATGAGTTAGGGGAGTTACGTAATGAGGTCAATGCCTTGCGTGAGGAGGTCGGTACTTTACGCAATGACAATGGTGCATGGCATGTTGAGGTGTTTACTTTACGTGGTGAGGTAGCAGCTCTACGTGAAATTGTAGCATCGTTGCAGAATGAGGTTCATACTCTACGCAACGAGGTAAGTTTAATATTTTTCATATTTAACTTGATGATAAATTTACTCGTAATTTCACTTAAATTGCTTAGTAAATTCATTCGGTTGCTGCCAATACTGTTTAACTGTTTATTCTTTAACCCTGTGAAGTTAGTATTTGTTTTTGGTTGTCTTTTGGTTGAAGTAATGCAATCCATTCAAGTTTCAATTTGCAGAAGAAGAATAGTTTACTATCGCAATGCGAAAATGACTATCGCAACGCGAAAATGACTATCACAACGAGAGAATCGCAATGCGAAAATGACTATCGCAATGCGAATTTGACTATCGCAACGAAAGAATCGCAATGCGAAATGAAAATCGCATTGCGATTCTCTCGTTGCGATAGTCAAATTCGTATTGCGATAGTCATTTTTGCGTTGCGATTTTTATTTCGCATTGCGATTCTCTCGTTACGATAGTCAAATTCACATTGCGATAGTCATTTTCGCATTGCGATAGTCATTTTCGCATTGCTTGCGATTTTAAGCTTCAGATTCTATTCTTCTTCTGCAAATTGAAACTTGAATGAATTGCATTACTTCAACCAAAAGACAAATACTAACTTCACAGTGTTGAAAATTTAAGTTTCAAGAATAAACTA